CTATATATTCTCCTGGTGCTGTGCTGGAGCTTAGGAACCCCCTGCCATTCCAAGAATAAAGCCCATCCCTTGCCAAGCACTTACAGTCCAGGGGGCACCCAGGTGAGTGGCAGTCAGGGCCAACACTGCCTGGTGGCAGGACTGGGGTGGGAGCCTCAGCTCGGCTTTCTCATGTACATTTTTCTCGTGATGTTCCCCCATAACCTTGGCAATTTCTTGAGATTTTTGTCAGTCCTTCCTGTTTTGCAAGTTGATCATTTTGGTCCTTCAGTTTTTAGATTTTTATGGAAAGACATTTTCTTATCCTGCTTCATATCCTTTCAGTTCTGTCCAAAGGCACATCTCTGACCCATTCCCGCTCTGGCCATCTGACATGTGCTAGATCACAAGGGCAGGTTGCAGCCTCCCTTGCAGTTCCTTGTCCAGATGCCTGCACCAGCCCATTCAACCATCACAAATGTGAAACAGAGCAGAAGCTTCCAAACAGGCTGCACCTGGGCTGGACCACCCTCTCTCCTCCTTCTTTCTTCCTTCAGCTGTCCCTCCTTCTGGATGGGCAAAATCACTTCTGTGTTTTCAGGGGCGTGGAGGGAGCCCGAGAAGAGCATACATTGACACCACCGTCGCTGCCTGCAGCAGTGACTTCCTCCACTCTCTGTCCTAAAGCCTGTGGAGAGCCCTTAAATTTGTGGTCTTTGAAGCTGTTGTAAAGGTAAGATTTTTCTTTTCTTCCCAGGTCCTACTCATGCTGACTTTTCAACTTTGCAGTGTCTCTGATGGTCTCTGCTCCTGTTTTGAGACTGTCCCTCTCATGCTCCACTCTCCAACCTGGCACCTGTAAAGTCTCTTCCAGGGATCTGTGGCTGCATTCCAGGGTCTCTTTGTGCTGAGCTGCCTGGGACCTCAGACCATCGTAATAAATAACATGGCAGGGATCTTCTCCATTATCCTTCTTCCTTCTGCTTTCCTACAAGAGCAGCAGGTTCAACGGGTTTGTAGAGGACTCTCTGTATGAGGGTCTCAAGGAAATTTCCAATTTGATGCAGGAGAAGGAAGGGAGAGAGAGACTAAAAATTGGTTGATGGCCACCATGTGCCAGATGCTCCCAGTACAATCTCAAACTCATCACATCTCCTGCCAATGCATTCACCCCCTTAACCAGTTCCACTCGGAGCTCCATCTCCCAGACAAGCAAAGGCCGTGTGGGGCCTTTGGAGTCAGACGCCTGCCATTCCATCTCAGGTGTTACTGTGGGAAAGTCATGTAACCTCTTTGAGCCTCAGTTCCTTCCCTTGTAAAATAGACCTATGAGTTCCTCATGTAGGGTTGCCTGGGGCCAGGATGGCCAAACAAAATATAGGACAGCTGCTATAAAAGTTGTATGGAACATACTTATACTAAAATATTATTTGTTGCTTATCTGAGATTCAAATCTAACTGGATATTCCAAATTATTAGTTATTAATATTTTTGCTAAATCTGACAATCTACCTGAAATTTAAGTGACACATGAATGCCAAGGCTTGGCCCAGGGCCTAATGCATAGGAGGGTTTCGGTGAGTGGCAGCCATTGTTGTTTCTGGGAGTTTCTGGAAAAGTTATTGAGAAGATGTCAAGGGGAGATGGAGAGGTTTACAGTTTGGTTGGAAATATTTGCTGATCCCTTGCAATGTGCCAGGTATTCCTCAGGAACAAGGTGGGCAAAACATGAATAGGACAAGCTTTCTGCTCTCCGGGGACTCCCTTGAAGATGCATCACAACCCCAAGCTGGTATAGCAAGTGTTATAAATGCAGTACATGCCTGTAGCAAATGCTATACAGCACAGGGAAGTCACTCACCTGGCAGGGCATTGGAGGCCAGAGCTGCCAAGGAGGTGGGCAGGTCTCTCAGGCAAACCTTTTGAACGTGGGGTTTGGTGGAGATGGGAGAGATAACTGAGTTTGAGGTTCGCCAGTTGGTAAGGTGTGTGGCTGGCTCAGGGCTCGTGGCCAGAAATGAAGGCAGAGGGAAAGGTGGAGGTGAGGGCACCTGCAACACTGCTCAGCAGGGCTGGGCCCAATTTTCATAGACAGTGGAATTTCAGTGCTCTAATTATGTCTTTTTTTTCAATTTTTAAATATATGAAAATGTCACTAGAATGCTTTTTTCTCTGGACCTCTTTTCTTTAAATTGGGCTCTTCTGGTAAGTCCAATAGTTCAATAAAGTCCTTGGTAATGGTTTCTCCATGTTTTCCATGCCAGCAGCCCTGATGGAGAGTGTAGAGGCTCCGAGTATCCACTCTTGCATAAAACATTGTCCTCTCCCGCCCCATGCTTGACTGGCCTTCTGGCAGCCCTTTCTCAGCTGGGCCATGTCCCTGTGGAGGGATGGGGCAAAAGAGGCCAGACAGCAGGCTGTGCCCTTGCTCCCTGCTAGCAGATGCGGCCTTGGCCTACTCTGAGCTCGGCAGTTCTGTTTCTCCTGGTTGCTGGATGCAGGCCATGGCGTTGCTGTGCACTCTGTTATCTGGAACTTTCGGTTCCCTTGGTTCAACCGTCCCCTGCCCTGCAGCATTCTGCATGGCCTGCATTTGCCAGGCCCAGCCCCTCATTGCCTGAGGAACCTGTCCGTGTGGAATGCAACACTCATAATACTCTTAGTGCCGGGAATGGGGGACAGGGGAGGGCACATAGTGACACAGAGAAGACATTACGAGGGAAACTTTGATATATAAGTAAGTGGAAAAGAAAGTGTATAAACCAGTGTGCAAATAAGATCATACGCATGTGAGCCATGTGTATGTGATCCCACGTACACATACATAAGCTCCTGCACACACACACACACACACACACACACACACACACACACAGGGTGGATGGATTACTCTGATTACCACTTGGGTCTGTTTTGGAAAAAACCTCTCAAATCATGTTTTTCCTCTGCTCTCACACCACAACAGCAATCATCAGCAGAGGAAGACTTTGTGACCAAATTTGTGGAAGATTTCCCCACACACCAAGCAGCGGACACCAGCTGAATGCCCTTCCAGTTCACTTCCATCACTGCCTACCAGAAGATAGCATCAGATCCCACAGCTTAAGGGTTCAGTCCCAAAAGACTGCCCCCCACTTTCCCTCAAGTTTCAGGAAGAGGTCTTTGGAACTTCTGACTGACCCACTTCAAGTTGGGGTTCCCACAACCCCCTCTTTGGGTTTCATTAATTTGCTAGAGTGGCTCACAGAACTCAGGGAAATACTTAACATTTACAGATCCGTTAGGAAGGATATTTTAAAGGATACAAATAGCTAGATGAAGAGATACATAGGGCAAGGCCTGGAAGAGTTCGGTCCCTGTAAAACTAAAAGAGCACCCACTCGGCACATGGATGACTTCTCTAAACTTCCTGTCAGTCTCCACATGCTCAGCTCTCTGAATGCTGTCCTCTTGGGTTTTCTTGTCTTTCCTTCCCTCCCTCCCTCCTTCCCTCCCTCCCTCCCTCCCTCCCTTCCTTCCTTCCTTTCTGAGACAAGGTCTTGCTCTGTCACCTAGGCTAGAGTGTAGTGGCACCATCTTGGCTTACTGCAACTCGTACCTCCCGGGCTCAAGCAATCCTCCTCCCACCAGAGCCTCCCGAGTAGCTAGGACCACAGGTGCAAGGAAGCCATCGTGCCCAGCTAAGTTTTGTATTTCCTTTGGTACAGATGGGATTTTGCCATATTGTCCAGGTTGGTCTTGAACTCCTAGGCTCAAGTGACCCACCCACCTTGGCCTCGCAAAGTGCCAGGATTACTGGTGTGAGCCAACACACCTGGCCCCTCTTGGGTTTTTATGGAGGCTTCATTACGTGGCATGACCGACAATCACGTAGAAATGTAATTGAACAAAAAGAACGTCATCTAAACCCAGCAAGGCCTGTCTGTTCAGACTTTTCCTAGCCTCTCTGTGCAGCATTTCTTCCTCTAGGGCCTGGGGCAGGACCTGCTCTGAAATGAGGGTCTTTTGACCCACAATCGATAAGAGTCCTGCCTTGGGCAGAAGAAAGGAGAACAGGAACAGGTCAGAGAGAGGGATGGATGTTGTCTCCTGAGGCCTAATGCTCCCAACATTATAACAAGGAGAATGGGAGTGATAAGCAAGGACTCATGAATGAAAACCTATGCCTATGTATCATAACACCACAGGCACATAAGCAGAGAGAAAAATGCCTAGTAAGATATTGAAAAGATATCCAACAAGGAATAAATGTTCATAGCAGTGGTTAGATTATGAGTGACTTTAATTTTCCCTTCCAATTTAGCTGTATTTTCTAGATTTTCTAAAATGGGTATATATCATACAATACAAAATATTACAAAAAGGAAAAGCAAGTCATTTTCTACAGTATCTTATGGAAATCAGAGCACTGTTCTTGTGAGTATAATTTTATCATTGGACCAAGGGGGTGGCATGGGAGTGTGAAGTAGGGTCTGTAGCAGGCAGCATGACAATTTGCTGGCTGGTCCCTACCAGCCCCTCATCTCTCCTGGCAGCTGATCTGGAGTCTAACCCAGGGCCTGCATTGAACTCTCTGGCCCTCTGTATCCACACTGTAAAATGAGGGGATTCAGCAAGCATCCGAGGGATGGCAAATCAGAGATGGTATGTGAGCTGAAACTTCTCACTGATTCTCTGGGAAAGATCCAGGTTCCTCACGAAAGACTGCCATAATTGATTATGATATCTGCTGTGGCAACCCAGGGCAAGGGGTGCCACCACCCTCCCAGCTCAGCAGGCGGCAGCAGCCCCACCCTTGTGGGCTCCCAAACCTGCCTTCAATGCCTCAATTATAGCTGTCATTGTGTTTAGCAATTATACAGTGGGAGCCCTGTTGTGTTTATTTTTAAATTGCCTATACCAGAGTCTGGCTGACATAGGAATAAATGAATGATGAATGGATTACTCAGAAAACAATGACTAAATGTGAATGCAATTGCTAAGCATAGGTGTGCAGTTTTCCAAGGTACTGGAGATCTTCGTTTGGATGCATAAATTCTGCTTTATTACTCTACCACCTAAAGCATGCCAGGTTGTAAAATTAACATTGGTTGGAGATAAGAGATTATCAAATGCCAGCATCATGTGTGGGATTTAGTTAATATAGGAAGAGGGCGGGGACAGTGCTGTCATGGAGGGAGCACTGGCTGCCAATCTGCTGACCCCTTTCGACTGGGTTATTTGAAGCAAATTCCTTTAACTTCCTCAGGCCTGGAGCTTTCTTGTTTATCCAAGGTCCCTTCTGGCTTCGGAAACTCCATGCTCTTGAGTAGGCTCTCAGCCTCTGCAGAACTCAGACGGGCTATTTTGTCGGGAGGTCATTTGCACCTGAAAATTTGAGCAGATTTTGGAGACCCTCAGTCCTTTCCTTCCTCCCACATCCTGCACTTGTCTTTTCTGAGGAGACTTCTGCCAAGCCAGATCTGGAGGTGTCCTCTCCTCCCCTCCCCTCCCTTCCTTCTCACTCTCCCCCATATCTGTCCTTTCCTCCTCTTTCCTTTTACCTATGGCCCTACTCCACCCTGCCAAGGGCCCCCATGTGCCTTCCTCTCCTTCAGTCCCAGTGGGGAGTTATTCTTGTCCTTCTACCTGTTCCAGCAGGGTCCTCCTTAATCCTATCCACATCCCTCCTCAATCCTAGCCCTGTCCCTCATCTCTTCAGGCCCCCCTACAAAGCTGCTTTAAGCTGGCTTCTTATCATGGTAGCTAAGGGTGGCACTTCTTCCTCTGCCAAGGGACAGGAACCTGGACACCGTCTGGTTGAGAAAAAACAGCCCCATCCATCAGTTCCAACTACTGTCATTGCCTTCCAGTGTCTGATGCATGATGACGGGAACTGAGCCATGGGCAGTGGCCAAGAGCTTCCTATATTCACAGGCTGGACCTGGGCCAACCACCCAGGGCTGCAGAGGCCTCCTCAGAGCCTACCACCCAGCTCCCACCCTAGCTTAGCTGGCCTCATGTTTGTCAGAGGTGTTTCTTCATGACAGCCACATTCTTTCTTAAGATTTTATTTTTTCCTTTTCTTTTTTTTTTGGATATGGAGTCTCGCTCTGTAGCCCAGGCTGGAGTGCGATGGTGTGATCTCAGCTCACTGCTGCAACTTCTGCCTCCTGGGTTCAAGTGATTCTCCTGCCTCAGCCTCCTGAGTAGCTGGGATTACAAGCATGTGCCACCACACCTGGCTAACTTTGTATGTTTGGTGGAGATAGGGTTTCACCGTGTTGGCCAGGCTGGTCCAAAACTCCTGACCTCAGGTGATCCACCTGCCTTGGCCTCCCAAATTGCTGAGATTATAGGTGTGAACCATTGCCTCTGTCCTAAAATACATTTTTGAGACCTTCAGAGATGCTGGAACAGGTTTAGCAACTAGGTGACCAACGTCCTTTCTAGGCTTTTCCTGGGAAGTGGCTAAGCCTCCAGCCTGCAGGGCCATGTGAGTAAATGGGAGCTGGCAGGTGGGCACAGGATTCCCAATCCCCCTAAATCCTGAGTTTGGTTGGGGGGAATCCCAGAGACAGAGGGAACACAATGAGCACTTACCTGACCTGGGACACAGAAACTTCTAGAAGAGCAGAAAATATGGTCCAGCACATGGGATTGTTTGGAGGCAATGAGAAAGCCCGGTCATGTGCCCACCTCCCCACTGCTGTCTTGGACCTTCCTGAGACATGAAGACTGGAAAGCTTGAGGGCACGGTCTGGAGTTTTAAGTGGCTTCAGTGGGCAGGAGGCCCAGGGTTGTGGGGGAGGCCTCTTCCCCATTGGCTCTGGGCCCTTCATCAGCAATTCTGCTCCCCAGCAGAAAGTGACCAGGGGCTCCCTCCCACACCGGTGGCATGTGTGGCTGAGCTGGAGACAAGTTAAAGGAGCCAGCCCCTTCTTGTCTCTGGAGCCTGACTGTGCCCACGGGTCCTCTCAGGCTTGCTCTGAACTGGCTCAACACTCAAACTTGCATTACTCATAGGCCATGTCTTCCCCTCTGCCTGGGACAGGAAGTGAAGCCTCCCTGCCATCATGGGCTGATTGCCAAGTGCTAGACCTGAGCCTGGCCCATATGTTGCCATGACACTGGGGCTGTGGCTGTGCCCTTGTCCCAGAGCAGGAAGAGGAGGGCTTGAGAGGCAGGTGATGGGTCCAAGGCCATACCACAGTTGGGTTGTGGGGCCAGGCTGGAACCCAGGTCTTGCTGATTCAGGTTAGAAGTTAATGCCTACACTGACCAGAGTCAAATACAGAGCTGGTTTGTCTCATAGAAAAGGCACCGATTTTTTTTCATCACAAACACTCTGATTAATGGTCAAGTTTTGGAGTTTCCTAATGATATATCCTGCGTGAACAAGTTGAGCTCAAGTGTTAAAAAATGCGCAGGAATAAGAGTGACAGATTCTAGACTGAAGACCTGGATTTTAATCCTATATTTGTGTTGACTGATTTGCCTTTAGGTGTGGGCCCTTTGGTCTTATTAATGAGGTGTCTCATGTTGCGACTAGGAATGTGGGTTTTGGAGTTCACCCAGACTCTTCTAGGCCTCTGTCTTCTTCTTGGAGAGGAGAAAAAGTAGCATCAGTGCTCCCGTGGGGTGAGGAGTAAATGAACAAAAGTGTGTGAGATGCTCAGGCCTGCCCAGGACAGACTATGGGTGTTAATATTATTAGTAGTATTAAATGCAGTGGCCTGAGGCCAATCACTTAACCTCTGTAAGCTTCCATTTCCTCATCTGCAAAATAGGGAAATAAGAATTGCTGCTGCATATGATCACTATGAGGAAAACCTCTGCATGCTGTAAATAATTATACCTACAATTGCAACCAATTAAAATCTTCTCCCTGCTTTAAATGGCTTGATTAGACACTCACTGTTTTCCAAGACTGAGCATTCCTGGGCAATGGCACAAAGTTTTTAAAGGAAGTGTCTGGACAATTGTGTCTGAGAATGCAGTCTCCTCTCACTCTCAGCTCCCTGAATTGCTCTCCTTCTTGTGGGCTATATAGCACATTTTGGCCAATGGAGAATATACATCTTTGGGAGAATTTGCAGGCAGGACCATTTTCAGCCTGTAGGATGCCTTTGTGCAAACACAGAAGGGACATACAGAGAGCATGGACATGCACGGAAGCTGGCTTTCAGCACCCTGCTCCCCCACTGACTATCTGCCTCCTGTGAATGGTAGCCCTGTGTGCACATAATCTGTATCTAGGTCACAAACTTCAGTGTTCCTGGGGCCAGGCAGAGGATGTCAATGGACGTGAGTGAAGCCTCCTGGGTGTGAGGCAATAGGAAGAGTGGGGATCACAGAAATCTGAAACGCCCAGTCCAGGAGTTGCAGGAGCAGCTGTGACCAGCTTCAGGTCACACTGCCAGGTGAAGATCCAGGAAGGCCAGGCCTTTCCACTTATCTACAGAAATCTAGAGAGCTATGTAAAGTTTTCCTGGTTTTGAAAATTACTGTGTACATCAGAAAAACACAACTTCATGTGGAATATCATGTGTGGGTCACAGCTGCCCACCTGCTCTATGCAAAGCCCAGACACAATCAGAACCTGACACCAGTGAGAGGGGAAGCACGTCCCTCTTCCCCTCCTTTCTCCTTGCCTTCTCTCCCTCCCTTCCCTCCTCTACCACCTCTTCTGACTGAAACCTCAAGGCCTGACACATGGACTTCTCTCTCCCTGCCTCAGTTCTCTCTGCTCATGGCCTCGTCTCTGACAACCACACCACCCATTGAAACACGCCTTGCCTACATCTTCCCTCTTTCCCCCAGATGCTCTCAACCCCCACCCAGCATTCAATTACTCCCTCCTGACTGCCAACTTCTTGAAGCCAAGAGACCTTGCCTGACATGGAATCTGTTAGCTTAAGATGTTTCTCTATAAGTAAATCCAAACTCCACTGCCTGCTGTCTGTGACCCACCTCCCACTGTCTCCCGGGACCCTGAAGCACCCGCTCACTGCTCTCATTGAAGTTATTCTCTGAGCAAAGCCTGACTGTCTTGCTTCTGTGCCTTCATTTTAGCTGTGCTCATTGCTATGATTCCCTTCTTCTCCTGTCGACCAGCCCTGAAAAACTTACAGTTTAATTGCCTTAATTCTTCCATTGAGTGTCCATGAACAACCTAGCTTCTCTCTCCCAGAATCCTGCTGCTGCGAGAAGGATTCGGGATTGGACCCTAGGAATTTCTTGCAGTAGGCAGTTGTTACCCCTCCAGGGACATAGCCTTTCATCCGCTGGAAGTTGCTGGGTGCAGCAGACAGATTTGCACTCTTTGTAGTACTGTTTGTCCTGCGCACAGCAGGTGGTCACCAAGAACTGAATTCTTAGCTAGTGCTTTCCATTATTTTTTCTTTCAAGTATCTAGAGGGCCCAGCGTAGCAGCTTTCTAAATTCAGAAATCACCCCTCCTCTCTGTTGTCTCTGTATCCCATATCCTCTGGTGCTCTGTTTCTACAGCATCTTTCCTGGGTGTGCAAAAGGAGCCAAGGACTTACCCTTGGGGGTGAGTGTGGCCTTGTCTTTTGCTGTCGTTTTGAGTATGCAAGTTCCTGTTCAAGAAAAGACCTTTCCAGAACAACTAGGTGTGCCAAGGCCGTGCTGGATACATCAGCTGCTGTGCACACGCATCAGGCCAGGGCTGCAGCTACTGCCCTGGGGGTACCCCAGCCACCAACACCAGCTGCCCAAAAAAGGCCACCAGGCAAGTGGACCCCCCGCCTCAAGTATTTTCATAGCCAGGACCACGTTTGGGACCCCAGAGAGAATCTCTTTCCCAGTCTCACCCTTCATTTCTCCACTCTCAGTTTTCGTCTTTCCATGATCTACTGTGATGAAATCGGCACCCAGGCCCTCATGTTTCTGCACATGACAAGCCTGTGTCCCAGTGGCTGTTCTGCAGAAAATCCACATCTTAAAATTATAAAGGATGTTACTGGAATAAAAGAATTCTGTGATCAAATAAGTTTGGAAAACATTAAATTAAACAAAAGTTCAACAGGTTACTTTACTGCAGGACTTCTCAGAGCCTTTAATGCACTGTGGTTCTCCAAGGGGGTGTCAGGTCACAGAGCATTTTTCAGCCTTTTACGACTGTGAAATTCATTTGTTCAAGGGGCATCTGGAGGGAGTGGATGGTGGCGAATGTACTCTGGGAGATGTGGTTGTGCAGGACACACAGCCGGCCCCAAACCTGGGCCTGCTCACCACGCTGGCTCCTCATGTGGCCAGGCCCTCTGCCCCTCACTGAGCCTTGGCAGCTTTGCTGTAATTGTATTCCCATATGTGTCCAGTCTGGCTTGATACAACTCTGGCCACCGGCTTCCGGAATATTCCAAGGCTTAGCCCAAGCCTGTGTGTCCTGAGATTACCTCTCGTTGCTGGTGGACATCTTTATGAATTCAGGAATGAAAAGCACAAAGCCAGTGGCAGTGCTGGCAGAGCTGACAAGTCAGCAGGGATCATGCTTTGCCCTTTGTCTGCCCCATGCTCCTGGCATGGACTGGAGGCCGCAGGGATCTAGGAATCCAGTCTCTCTGGGTTCACACCACCAGACATTCAAAGCAGAACAAAACACGGTTTCACAATGACTTGGAGAAGTCTGACATGGGTGGACCTTAAATTGCCACCCCACGATTTTAACTACTGTTTTCTTTGATTCTAAGATGTCATCAATTGTATGACACACCATTGTTTTAAGAACAGCTTGTAGGGGGTGAACAAAAACGAAAGAAAAAAGGAACACCACATGTAGTGTACTGACTAATTGTAAGACACATCCTGATTTCAGAATAATTAAAATTTGAACAATTGTGTGCCTTGGAATTGAGGAAATACACTATTTCTCCAGGTCGGGGTTGGCTTCCTTTTTCACTGCTGCTGAGGAAGCTGAGATGCAGGCTCCAAGCAAGAAGGCAGGAGATGGGGTGCTGGGCAGGTGTTTGATCTCAAAGAGAAGTCATTGAAGTAGCATGTGATCCAGCCTGTGCCAGGTTAGGAGGTGCTGGGGTGAAGCACGCCCTGCCTTTACCCTCTAGTGTGTGGCTGTTTATCCTATTGAGAGGTAACGTGTCTCCTGCAGCTTCCCAGAAGACAAGATGATGTGTGCGCCTGTTTCATAGCTGTCAGAAATAGTCAGACCATTCAAGTGTATATGAAATCAGCTCTGAAAGCTATGAAACAGAGCATCATTCTTTATTATTTTTCTGCAATGACATAAACATCATCACTAATTCATAGATACAATAAAAACAGAAATGTATTAGGAGTATATAGGAATGACTCTGAGCTAATGACAACCCATCATGTGATGATGGCTCACGTCATAGGGACTCACTCACCTCTTCTTTATCCAAGGAATCCCACCTCCTACTTCCTTGCCCAGACATGGCAAGAAAACAACACATATATGTTGTCACACTACAAAGAGGGTAGGCAGGTCCTTGAGTGCATCCCAGGGGCCCAGAGCAGTGAGGATTGTGATGGAGGAATGTTCCTAGGGTGTGAGAAGGACTGCGTGGAGTTTCCTGGGTGAACCCCAGGTGTGATGATGGGGCAGGAGGTATTCAGCTGAGGACCTGGGGCTGGAGATAAATTGAGGAGCAGTAAGAAGTTTGCTGTGAGGGCATGTGAGCTGGAAATGGGAGGTGAAGCCTGGGGAGGAATAGAGCTAGGCTGATGGTTGATACCACCTTCTCACTGAGTGATTTTTACACCTTGTTTTCAACAAATCAGCAAAGGCACTTTAAATGCTGTCATGAGCTGATTCCAAGTGTTCAAGCGGTGCCACCAGTGCTCTTGGTTGTGCCCAGATCACATGCTCCAGGGCAGTGCCCCACACCCCCCACCTCAGGAGGCTGGGCTCGCTGTTCCTCCTGGCACCTGCTTCCCCAGGCACGCACTTGGCTCATGGCTCATTTCATTCACGTCTGGGCCAGCTTCCTTCCTGAACCTCTTACTATGAAATGTGCTCTCCTCATTCTGTCTCCCCTATTATGCTTGTTACCCCGTGTGGCACTTGTTGCTCATTTGCTTCATTTTTGTAACATGAGCTCTGTGGTGGCTTCGCTCACTCCTGTCTCTGTTGTGCTCAGAATGTGGCCTGACACTTAGCAGAGGATCCATGTTTATTGTTGTTATAGAATGACACTGTTATCTGAGTTCTTCCACATGTATCACTTTAGTTCTCAATCCTTTCCTGATTTGTGGATGTAAAAATTATCTACAATAAGATAGAAGAATTACCCAAGATAGTTATTGCACTAGGAGGGAGAGGGTCATGCAACCCCACACTTTCCACCACAGCGTTAAGCTTCAGGACGATGCCACCCTTGATGCCCACTTCACGATGGCCTGTACATCTGACCGTGTGTGGGAGCCTGCAGCACAGGATTTAGCAGCCTCCTGCTCCAGCCAGCCAACTGTCCCTCAGAGGGGACTGAGGTGACACAACAGGATCCCATCATTTGGTAAACAGGACTCAAGCATGAAGTCTGAGGGTGGTGGGAGGTTGGGGGAGCTGGAGGGTGGGTAGAAGTGGCTGTGAAAAGCAGGAGGCTTTCCACAACTGAAGCTAAGTCTAGATGTACCCAGATTAATGACTTTTCCTTAAAAGGTTTTTCCAACCAGGAGCAAGGGGCTGGGGAAATCATCCCTGAGATGGTGACAGGAGGCAGAAACAAAGCATCAGGAAGGGACTAGGATTTAAAACTGGCCCCTCAATGCTTCTACACTACTGGTGGGAATGTAAATTCCTTCAGCCACTGAGGAAAGCTGTCTGGAGATTTCACAAATAACTTAAACTAGAACTACTATTTGACCTAGCAATCCCATTTACTGGGTATGTGCCCAAAGGAATACAAAGTGTTCTACCACAAAGACACACACGTGCAATATGTTCATCACAGCATGGTTCACAATAGCAAAAACATGGAGTCAACCTAGATGCCCATCAATAGTGGACTGCATAAAGAAAATGTGGTACATATATACCATGGAATACTGTGTAGCCATAAAAAGGAATGAAATCATGTCCATGACAGCAACATGGAGGGAGCTGGAGGCCATCTTCCTAAACAAATTAATGCAGGTGTGGAAAACCAAATATTGAATGTTCTCACTTATGAGTGGGGGCTCAACATTGAGTAGACATGGACATAAAGATGGGAGCAGTGGACCCTGAGGACTGCTGGCTAGGGGAGGGTGGGAGGAGAGTGAGGACTGAAAAACTACCTATTGGGTATTATGCTGATTTCCTGGGTGACAAAATTATTTGTGCACCAAAACCCTGTGATATGCAATTTACCCATGTAACAAACCTGTACACATATCCCTTTAATCTAAAATAAAAGTTGGACAGAAAAAGAAAATCTGGCCCCTCTATCTAGGCTCCTCTCCCTTCTTAGGTCCTAGGAGAGTTGGCCAACCAGGCCCTGAGTCCAGACATGGCCCTGAGTACAGTTTCCACTTGTACCTGCCCACATTCCCAAGCGCCACCATTCCTTGATGTGCCTCACTCTCTAGACCAGTGATTCCCAGTCACTGGCGTGCAGGAGAGTCTCCTGAGGAGTCAGGGTACATGTGTGCTCAAGTCAGCACCCAGACCCACCGGGTCCAGTCTCCAGGCTGGCCCAGCTAGAGA